AGCCCTGACCCCCCCCAGCTCTGCCGGTGCCCCTCACTCCCGACCCGCAGCCCCTGCTCGCCCGGCCCTGGGCTCCCGCTGCAGTTTTGTCCATTAGTTCACCTTGGTCTTGGGGCCCGATTTCCTCCACAGCCGGTGACCCCTCAGCAGCCTCTGTGGACGGGTCCCCGTCTCCTGGAATCACCTGGAAGGCGACCTGCCCGCTCTCCCCCTCGCTGGAAGGGATAAACCACACCATTGACCCCCCCTCTCGGGCTGGGGAGCCCCCCTGCAGGTCGTTCACAGCCTGGCGCGGATGGGGCACCCCCACCAGATCCAGGGCGGGTAAATCCGTCAGATCCGTTCCAGGCTAGGGGTCAGTTGTTCCCCGTGTCCGCTGAGGGCAGGACGAGAAGTAAAGGGCTGAAGCTGCAGCCAGTGGGACGGAGGTTAGATATTGGGAGAAACTTGCTAACTCGCCGGGTCGTTCAGCTCCGGAACCGGCTCCCAAGGGGGCTGGGGGACCCCACTCGAGGGCTTTAAGACCAGGTCGGAGAAACCCAGCAGGGCTGGTCTGGGGTGAGTAGGTCCTGGCTCCGTGCAGGGGGCCGGACCCGGTGACCTCCTGGGGTCCCTTCCAGCCCCACGATTCGAGGAGTCTCATTCCGTGAATTACAGATCGTTGGGGGTGTTTCACCATTTCCGTGCCCAGCGCGAAAGCGGGATTTACACAAGGCTCTAGGCAGGAGGCCAAGTCTGCCGGTGCCCCTCACTCCTGACCCGCAGCCCCCTCTCGCCCAGCCCTGGGCTCCCCCCAGCTCTGTCGGTGCCCCTCACTCCCGACCCGCAGCCCCCTCTTGCCCAGCCCTGGGCTCCCCCCCAGCCCTGCCGGTGCCCCTCACTCCCGACCCGCAGCCCCCTGCTCTTACCTGGCGCACACCCGGACCAGCGGCTCCATGCGGGCCCCGTACTGCAGGGCAGAGACCGACTTGCAGCCCATGGCGAAGCGGGACTTAGAGAGCGAGAACCAGCCCTGCATGGAGGGACACAAGGGGGGGTGTCAGGGGCTGCTGGGGGGGGACGACACTCCCCTAAGGGGCTGCACTGCCCCAGAGACCCCCCC